ATTTCCATTGTCGTACCGTCAGCTTCAGAACCTCAAGCCTGGTTGGATCAAGTATCAGGGACCGTGCAGCACGTTACTGGCTCAGCTCCCTCGGTGGAGACTCTCGATGAAGTTGAGGCAGACAGTGACCGTCTGCTTATCATGGCGCTAGACCATGACACACCTTTCATCGATACCATGGATTGCGGTGCATTTGAAAAGCTCCGAAGTCTCCTTCTTCGGTCCAAGGGCATTCTTTGGCTGAGCTTTGGTGGAGCTGTCGACGGTGAAGATCCACGCTTTGCGCAGGTGACTGGTCTCTTGAGAACTCTACGACGCGAAGATCCAAGCACACGATATGTTCGGTTGGCATGCGAGCCACCCCAACAATCATTGCCAACCGAGACCATCCTGATGCTTGCGCATGTGTTCAAGCAATGCTTTGACTACAGCACATCTGAGAACGTCAATATTGATTGGGAATATTCCGCCAAAGACCAGAACCTGTACGTTCCCCGCATCTATCCAGATTTTGAACAGGATCGGGCTGTCAGCGGAGGCGCAAAACCTCTTCAGCTGCAGGAGTTCAGCTACTCCGGCAAATCACTCGTCCTGCAACCATCAGGCAGCGGTACATCTGGCGCAGAGTCCTGCTTTGTGGATACGTCTGATGCGGTGGATGATCTGCCGAGTGGATTTGTTGAGATCGAACCGAAAGCCTTTGGGCTGAACATTGTAGGGGCGAGTGAAGACAACGAGTCGGTTGCACATGAGAGCAGCGGTATCATCAGGAGCCTTGGCCCGGACACACGAGACTCTGGACTTCGCGTTGGAGATCGAGTGTGCGGCATCTTCAAAGGACCTATCAGCAACGCCGGTCGCGCTCATTGGACCAACGTCGTCAAGGTTTCCGACAAGCTTACATGGGAGGAAGCCGCGTCCACCCCATATGCATACTCCACCGCTTGCTTAGCCTTGCGCGAAATCGCAAGACTTCAGAAGCATGAGCGAGTGTTGTTACACTTTGGTACGGCAGGTGTGGGCCAGGCTGCTCTTGCACTGGCGGAGAACATCGGAGCCGAGATCTTCGTCACTTGTGGAACAGACGAAGGGCGTCGAGTTCTGCTGGAAGATTACAACATCGCTCCCAGCCATATCCTGCAGGATGAAGCCGCCTCTCTCGTTTCTGCTATCATGTCTCAGACAAACAGCGAGGGAGTTGATGTGACGCTGAGCTCAGTTACTGGGCCGTTGCTCAAGGCATCCTGGGAGTGCACTGCACCATTTGGTCGCTTTGTGCAGATCTGTAAGGCTGATACCGAGAAGGCAAAGCATCTTGACATGTCGCCCTTTGGCCGCGGAGTGTCTATGACTGGTCTTGATACCCTCCAGTACAGCGAGATGAGAGGCGCCATGTTCCACAGGGCATTGGCGAACTCCATCGAATTGTTGCAGCACAAAGAGGCGAGACCCGCGACACCAATCAAGGTTTTCAAGCTGGCCGAGATCCATGAAGCGCTCCAGTATGTCCGAGGTGGGAGCTACATGGGTAGTGCTGTGATCCTGCCACAGCCAGGTGACGAGGTTCATGTCGTCCCGAAGGCTGAAACATTGCTTGGCCTAGACGCTCCAGACTCTACCTTCATGATCGTTGGAGGTCTTGGAGGCATCGGACTTGCCACCGCTTCGTGGATGTTGGAACATGAGGCCAAGAACCTTTTGATCGTCTCCCGCAATGCTGTCGCTCATCCAAAGGGGCTGGCGTTGATTGAACAAGGGCAAGAGCACGGTTGCAACGTTCATCTTCGCAACTGCGACATTGCCGACGAAGGAGCTGTCCGTAGTCTCCTCGCAGACGTGAAGGCAGAGTTACCTCCGATCCGTGGAGTTCTTCAGATTGCTGCAATCCTTGACGATACTGTCTTTGAAAGCATGACCTTTGAGCAGTGGCAGAAGGCCATTGGCCCTAAGGTCACCGGCACATGGGCCCTTCATAACAACCTGCCTGACCTCCAATTCTTCATTACGACCTCTTCCGCCACTGCAGTTCTCGGCAACGTGTCACAGAGCAACTATACCGCTGGCGGTACGTTCCAGGACGCGATTGCGCGCTACCGCACTGCCCTTGGCCTGCCCGCCGTGACAATTGATCTTGGTCCTATTGACGATGTCGGATATGTCGCACAAGGAGGCGATGTGGTGAAGAACCGCGTGGAGAAGGCCCTTGGCATGAAATGTCTTCCGATTGCCCATGTATTGCGACTGTTCGAGGATGCAATCAGGAACCCAAATCGACGCCGGGCCGAAAACAGTCAGATCATTACGTGTATCACTGGATACAGCAAGTTGGTTGACGATCCAGCGGTGAAGAAAGACCGTCGATTGGGAACCCTTCGACTGGGCGATGATACCACGACAGAAGCCTCAGCTCAGGGACAGTCTGAGTCTTCCAAGAACATCGATGGATTGATATCTCAGTTATCGGCACTGTCGGCGGGTGACAGCAAAGCGAAGGAAGTCGTCACAGACCTGCTAGTAGCCAAGGTTGCCGACTTGTTCAATCTGGAGACGAGCGCCATCGACACCGCTGATGCGCTCACAAGCATCGGCGTCGACTCCCTGGTTGCTGTGGACTTCCGGAACTGGTTGGGTAGCGTTGTCAAAGCTAAAGTCAGTATCTTTGAGATTCTGCAGACACCGTCGCTAGGCGAGTTCGCTGGCTTGGTTGCAGAGAGGAAAGGATAGGCGCACAGCCTTTCATTCTGGATTTGATTGCGCGTAGAACAGGGGCGTTTATTGTTTCGTATAAATCTTCTTGTATGATGTGGTTAGCTAGTTACCTAGTCAATTACTTACGATCTGAGGACTCGGGCTTCATCATGCGCGTCACGTGCCGACTGCAAATTTCCGACTTGACAGATTTCTATGCTGCGCGAGGCAGAGTTCACGTGTAGCAGGCGGAGTGCTCCTCAATCGCGTGATGTGATGCTGCCGGTGCGTGTCGGGATGGAGGGACAAAGTTTCGCGTCTGGGGGCGCGTGTGGTAGCGGCGTGGTGCTTGGCGGGGCGATGCCGGACGTTGAACTCGCTTCCCCGACGACTTTTTTTGAGAGCGGGTATCGTTGGGCATCTTATCTCTAGCTCCCGTTCTTCACTGCTCGGTACCGCAATTGCCTTGCGCTGTTGCTCCCTCTCACACCTGTCAATTGTCCATTTCTGCTTTGCTTGAAATCCTCGACCATGACGCCATCACCTTCCGAAGCCGCCGCAAAGGTTGCGCAAGTCGCTGCCGGCACCAACTCGTCCGCAAAGGTGTACAAGAGGGAGTCCAACACAGCTAGGGTCCTGGGTGCAGGTACATCGGCCGTTCTCGAGTCAATATAGCATATCTGACATGCACAGGATGTGCGGGAATCGCAGAACTCATGGTCTTCCACCCGGTCGACACGACGGCGAAGCGGTTGATGAGCAACATTGGCAAGGTGCGACATGTGGACCATACAATACCCCGACGGCGTCTGACTCGAACACATGTAGATCGAGAACGCAGCACATCTCAACAAGGTCGTCTTCAGAGACGCAGCCGGCGCGTCAGTCTCTGGGCGATTCTTCTCACTGTTCCCCGGTCTCGGATATGCCGCCGCATACAAGGTGCGTGGAAAAGTGCAAGCACACAGGAACTCGGACTGACAGGGACAGATCCTCCAACGAGTATACAAGTTCGGCGGACAGCCCTTCGTACGCGACTACCTCGCCCACAACCACGGTGACAGCTTCGACCGCGCATTCGGCAAGGGCAACGGCAAGGCTATCATGCACGCGACTGCCGGTTCCATAATCGGTATCGGTGAGATTGTCCTCCTGCCATTGGATGTTCTCAAGATCAAGCGACAAACCAACCCTGAGGCTTTCCGAGGCCGTGGGCTGTTCAAGATCATCTCCGACGAAGGGCTCGGGCTGTACCGTGGTTGGGGATGGACGGCAGCACGTAACGCTCCAGGGTCATTCGCAGTATGTACACCACTCTGCTTACAGCTATCCGAATACTAACACACCCCCAGCTCTTCGGTGGTTCCGCTGTCGCCAAGGAGTACTTCTACAAACTCACCGACTACAACTCGGCCTCATGGTCGCAAAACTTTGTCGCCTCCATCGCCGGAGCCAGCGCATCGCTTGTCGTCTCTGCCCCTCTCGATGTCATCAAGACGCGTATCCAGAACAGGAACTTTGAGAACCCCGAGAGCGGCTTCAGGATCGTGTCCAACATGATGAAGCACGAGGGTCCCACGTCCTTCTTCAAGGGACTGACGCCCAAGCTGCTCATGACAGGACCCAAGCTGGTCTTCTCCTTCTGGTTGGCCCAAACACTGATCCCTGCTTTCGGCAAAATAATGTAATATGTAGCGATGAACTTGTCCTGATGTCTGTACTATATGGGGGTTTCGGGTTACTGTGCTTTAGAGCTGGCAGGTTGGGCTACGTCAAAGGCAACGACGTACGACGGACCGCACACTGCTGCAAACGAATGACACATTCTCCATTCCATGATCAGTTGGGTGAAAGCTACTTGTAATCGATGGCGGTGATGCGTGCCATGGCTGGGTGACTGGGGCGGTGGACCCTGGCGGCTGTCACGTGGGTGCACTGATGGCACCCACCTGGCACTGTACATGATGATGCGTGATCTGCGACTGTCTGGCACTGCAGTGGGCAACAAGACAGAGCAGAGTCATACGTCAGACGGCGTACGGGCGCCTCACTGGACAAAGCTAGGCGGCAGATAAGCAGGCGTGAATGTGATGTTGATGGCGCGACAAGCTACGGCAACTTGTGACCACGGATTTGGGCCTGGCTGAATGCCAAGCTATTCACATCTGGTATCCGCGCATTGCACCCCATCACCCTCTACTTAACACCGTCAGCCTCGACGACCCGCGATACCCCACAACGACTGCCTCTGACCACCCCCAACTTGCATCTCTTAGTCTCTTCCCTCTTTCCACCCCCGCAACACCGCCATCATGAACCCTGAGTGGTACGTAACCTCCGCGCGACGCCCACCGCCACAGGCCGGGGAACAGCGCCGCCAGATCTGGGGGTGCGACTGTGCTAACGTGAAGACCCGCAGAGTTACTTTTTCCCATCGACGACAGCCCTGGTGCTGCCCGTCGTGCCATGCAAGGCTCCCGCTGACGGCTCGGTTCGACAGATACGACTACCTCTTCAAGCTCCTCCTCATCGGTGACTCTGGTGTCGGAAAGTCGTGCCTGCTCCTCCGTTTCGCCGACGACACATACACCGAGAGCTACATCTCGACCATCGGTGTCGACTTTGTGCGTTGTCCCGCGCACCTGCAGCCCCGGTCGGCGATAATCTAACAAGCCCCAGAAAATCCGAACAATCGAGCTCGATGGCAAGACGGTGAAGCTACAGATTGTGCGTACACTGCATATGCAGCGTCTAGGCGTGAGTGCTGACAGTCATCGCAGTGGGATACCGCCGGCCAGGAGCGCTTCCGAACCATCACATCTTCGTACTACCGCGGCGCCCACGGCATCTGCGTCGTCTACGATGTCACCGACATGGACTCTTTCAACAACGTAAAGCAGTGGCTGCAGGAGATTGACCGATACGCAACCGAGGGCGTCAACAAGCTGTTGGTCGGCAACAAGTCCGATATGGCGGACAAGAAGGTTGTCGAGTACACCGTAGCAAAGGTACCATCATCTCGCTAACCCCAGAGCACGCACGCCATCTAACAGCTCAAACAGGAGTTCGCAGACAGCCTTGGCATCCCCTTCCTCGAGACCTCCGCAAAGAGCGCCACCAACGTCGAGCAAGCTTTCCTGACCATGGCCCGCCAGATCAAGGAGCGCATGGGTACCACAACCGCCAACACCAAGCCCACAGTCCCTATCGGCCAGGGCCAGGGTGTCCAAAACGGATCCGGCGGTGGTTGCTGCTAGAGAAAGAGGAAGAGTTGTTATGTGTCGGAGAACGGACCGGTGTCTACGGATAAGCAATGCACGGCGTGGGTGTTTGAGCTCCCGCCTTTACGCCATGCGAGGGTTGGTGCAGTACTACGATAATGCTCACTGATACATGACCGCCATGTCTCCCATTCGTCACCATCTCCACGTTTCCATCCCGAAGTTGTGCGCTAGCATGGCGACATCCGATCGCATAGAATGGGGGCTCTCGTTTGGATTTCTGGGATGTGCTGGTGTCTACATTACAATTTGTGGTGGCCACTAGGTCTCTTCCCTTCGGTGTCTCAGGTGTTCTTTAATATGGGCAATCAGACTTCATCTCCTAGATCTTTGATGCCTGTTCCACAAACACAAACTTGCGCTTTAGTGATGTGAAGACGCCAGCTCAGCCACCACACGACTGATGGATAAGGTTCAACAACAGCTTCGATGCTAACGTCCTACTTATCAAGATCTCTGCGTGATATTGTGACAACTGATTTGCGCCCTTGATGCGCCCTTTGACATGTATGGATGCCGAGTACCCTTCGCTCCTTCCCGCATCCGGTAAAATGCAGGCGCTGACGTATGACGCGAAACTCGACTAGGCCCCAGGCCTCCAGGCAGCACTAAACACTCCGGTCCGTCATGGCTTCGGAAAAGCAATCATAACCAGAGCCTCTTCTCTTCTTTTTTCCTTCTACAAAACTTCTGGCCTTCCTAATGTCTTAGAGTCCAGGTGTACCAACTCCGCCACGCTCATAATACCCACCCTATCCTGAACCTCGGAGCATGTCTGTTCGTGATGCGCCTGTCAAAGCGGCACAATGGCTCGGCCGCGAACTGGGACTCGCGACAATGAAGCATGCTGGAAAAGACGTCTACATCCTCATTCTGGCACGGTACATCCGTCTGTTTGCATACGGGAGCGTGGCACTTATCCTCGCACTCTTCTTCCAAGAGCAAGGATTCTCAGATGAACAGATCGGACTCTTCATGTCGTTGACGTTGCTCGGCGATGTAGTCATCAGCCTCCTCCTCACACTTGTCGCGGATACGCTAGGACGGCGCCGAACATTACTCCTTGGGGCTGTGTCCATGGCAATATCCGGCGCTGTTTTCGCAACAACAAGCAACTATGTGGCTTTGCTTCTAGCAGCCATCGTCGGTGTCATCAGTCCTAGTGGGAACGAGATCGGGCCGTTCAGAGCTGTGGAGGAGTCGACGTTAGCGCACCTGGTAGCCGAGGACAAGAGGTCGGACGTGTATACTTGGTATGTCGTCTTGGCTGTACTGGGCACGTCAACGGGGTTGGCAGTTGGTGGTGTTGCGGTCGACAACCTGCAGGCTATCGAGGGTTGGACGGATCTGGATGCGTATCGCGCCATCTTCTGGATTTACACTGGGGTCGGGTGTGTCAAGGCGCTGATGACTCTGTTCCTGAGCCAGAGATGCGAGCACAGCGACTGGAACGATGAACGGAACAAGCCTGCTGCATCAGTTGAGACCGAGCCGTTGCTGAACAATGACGAAACAGAGAATCGAGATACTGCAACTCGAGACGCAGCCCCCAAGAAGCCTAAGAAGTTTTGGCATTCCTTAAGCAAGATCTCCAAGTCGAGTCGCATTGTTCTCATCAAACTCTGCAGCTTGTTCTTCCTGGATTCATTGGGCTCGGGAATGGTCCCCTTTAGTTTGATCAACTACTACATGGAACGTAAATTTGATCTACCAAAAGGGAAGCTCGGTGGCATCATGTCTGCAACATGGTAAGTCACAATCTTATCAAAGCATGCCTTGAACCACACGCTTACGAACATACAGGTTTGTGTCGACACTTGGAAACGTCTTTGCCTCGAGCCTGGCCAAACGTCTCGGCTTAATTCAAGCAATGGTATTCACTCATCTGCCTTCTTCTATATTCCTCGCGCTACTGCCTGTGCCGTCGGGACTAGCTTTAACCATCTGCCTGCTCGTTGGCCGCTCTGTGCTCAACTCTATGGATCAGGCACCTCGATCAGCTTTCCTCTCGATTGTGGTCTTACCAGAAGAGCGAACAGCTGTTATGGGCGTAGTTAACATACTCAAGACACTATCCCAAAGCAGTGGACCAAGTCTTACTGGTGTACTTGCTGGAAACGATCATTTCTGGGTTGCTTTTGTTGCAGCTGGTAGCTTGAAAGCGACATATGACTTGTTGCTTCTCGCATTCTTTGGCGGGAGGGTGCAGCCGCGGAGTGAAGGACCGGAAGCAATAACTGGCATAGAGGAGGATGACACTATTGACGAGCCCGCGAATGGACATAGGACTACTTGATGTAGCTTGCGCGGACTTGAAGACATAAACAAGAAACACAACTAGACCAATACCCTCTTGATGCAGATACAATAGATTTCACAGCTTCTAGAATGTTCAACATGCCGTTTGACGCTACACCGCCAGGTACGGGTGAAAGCCGAAGGCGCTACCTCGGTAAACTCCTTCTTGGGCTTACTTGTACGATTTCTTGCGTACACTGGCAACAACTTCCGACATCACAGCTATCAGCAATTCACTACGGCGCGGTCGCTATTGCCGATTTTCGGTGTGGCTGACCTAGCCATGCACATAGTATGCGCGAGTACTCCAGCTCAACGGTCAGCTTGTCGGCCGCCGCTCCGATCGTGAACACCCACGCTCTGGCCAAGGACAGGCCAGCTGGGCATGCACCAGGCGTGCCACGAGACCATGTGAACGAAGAATTACCCGAGCCACCAGCATCCGTCTCTGTCTTCCTAACCCATAGCAAGAAGGTCGCATATGGGACGACCCAATCACGTCCGCGCACGGCCGCAGGAGATGAAAGCTCCACCTGTCTGCACGCGACCCAGACCCTGGCTTGCATGGTTCGCCGCTACAGCCACGCTTACCCGAAAGCCATGCTAGACCCCGCAAAATTTTATGCTTAAAGACCGCCTCATGTCCTACCACCCAATGTCACGGTAGCAGTTTCCCCGGATTTCTCTTTACTTTTGTCCTGGTTCGAGAGTGTGTGGAGCAGCGTTGCAGCACCCCACTATCGTTCCCAAAGCAGCCCAGCCCTGGCCGGATCGCCATCGGCCCGACTTTCTCTGTTTGCAAGAAGTAGAGTTGACGGAAGAGAGCAATCATGGCGGAAGAGAAGGAGATTCAGCCCACTACCGCGCCCCCGTTCGAGCATTATGGAGAACATGAGGAGTCCGATCACAAGCGCGCTGCTAATAAGCTTGTCGACGATGCGCGGCTTGCCACGGACAACGAACGCAAGATGACGCTGATGCAGGGTATCAAACTCTATCCCAAGGCGATTGGATGGTCTGTCCTTATCAGCACGTGTATCGTCATGGAAGGCTACGATGTCTGCCTGCTGAACAACTTCTTCGGATTCCCGCAGTTCAAGCAAAAGTACGGCGAGCAGCTTCCGGACGGGTCTTGGGAGATTCCAGCGCCATGGCAGGCGGGTCTGTCGAACGGAGTCATTGTTGGCGAGATCATCGGTCTTTTCCTCAATGGATGGATCAGTGAGGCTATCGGATACCGCTATACTGTCATGGGATGCTTGCTTCTGATCATTGGGTTCACCACCATCTTCTTCACGGCTCAGACGGTGGTACACTTGCTGATTGCGGAGATTCTCTGTGGTATCCCCTGGGGTGTCTTCCAAACACTTACCATCACATACGCTTGCGAGGTCTGCCCTGTTGCTCTGCGTGGATACTGTAAGTCTACCAAGCTCTACTTTCACATACACAAGCTTACATCAATTAGTGACCACCTACGTCAACTTCTGCTGGGGTCTTGGTCAAGTCATCGGTATCGGCGTCATCCGCTCCATGGTCGACCGTGATGACGAATGGTCATACCGCATCCCCTACGCCCTCCAATGGATGTGGCCCGTCCCCCTCATCATCGGTGTCTTCCTAGCGCCCGAGTCGCCATGGTGGCTAGTCCGTAAAGGAAGAATCGAAGACGCGAAGAAATCTCTGCTTCGACTCACCAGCTTGGACCGAGAAACTGATTTCGATGCCGACGAAACGGTGGCCATGATGGTGCACACCACCGCCCTCGAAGAGAAGATCACCCAGGGAGCCAGCTACTGGGACTGCTTCAAGGGTACCGATTTGCGTCGTACGGAGATTGTCTGCATGGCCTGGGCGATGCAGAACTTGAGTGGAAACGCTTTCTCGGGTTACTCTTCCTACTTCCTCCAACAGGCCGGTCTACCCGCATCGACTTCGTATGACTTCGCAATGGGTCAGTACGGTATTAACATGGCCGGTGTCTTTGGCGCTTGGTACCTCATGAAGGTCGGTTTCGGACGCCGAACACTCTACCTAGGTGGTCTTTGTGGACTATGCGTTATGCTCTTCGTCATGGGTTTCCTTGGCCTGGTACCAGCCTCCCAGCGGGAGAAGGGCGCCATGGCTACCGGAGCTATGATGATCGTATGGGCTATGTTCTACCAGTTGACCGTCGGCACCGTATGCTACTCTCTCGTTGCTGAGCTTTCAACCCGCCGCCTCGCTATCAAGACCGTGGTCCTCGGCCGCAACCTCTACAACGTAATCGGCATCATCACCTCCGTCCTCACACCCTACATGCTCAACCCCGGAGCCTGGAACTGGTACGTCACTCCCTCACTCCCTTCCTTTCCTTCTTCCCTCTGCTAACCACACCCCAGGGGCAACTACGCCGGATTCTTCTGGGCCGGCTCCTGCTTCCTAAGTATCATCTACACCTACTTCCGCCTACCCGAACCCAAGGGCCGCTCTTTCGCTGAACTTGATCTCCTCTTCGAGAAGCGCGTCAGCGCGCGCAAGTTTGCAAGCACGACTGTCGATGTGTTTGAGGACAGCCATATCCAAGGGACTGCTGCTTTTGATCGCTATGAAGAGAAAGTTGATGCTGCTGTGAGAACCGAATCTGTTGCTGTTGGTGTTTCGAAGGTTTAATGACAAGAAGATTTAGGGTGTATATGTGTTGAGTGGGAAGATGTTGCATGTATGAGCGCATGATGTGCATGTTTTGCTGTATGATGGTTTGATGGGGATTTGGTATCATTTTAATCGAACTTCTTATCATGAAAGACTCCACGATTGCATCTATGTGGTAGAGCAATAGAATGCAATGCAATGCAGGCGCGAGCGTTTATGCACGTTCTTCGAGGTACAGTAGCTGATTGGACCTTCCATGTAAGGGTGCTGCGAGGGCGGGGCATTGTGCCGCGGACATACATACCCTCTCTTTTCTGTAATCCTCTGGTTTCTTTCAACACGTCCGTCTCACGTTTCTCAACTATGTTGCAACTCGACCCTGACTTCATCCGTATGGACGCCGAAGCTGAAAGAGCCAAGGGTTTTGTGAGATGCAAGTTCAACGAACAGATCGACTCGATACCAATGTACAGTCCCTCACATTCACTGGAATCAATATCTCTGCTAATCGACAGCCACATATAGATACAATGCCTCCCCTTCAGAACGCCAAAGAGCAGTAGAAGCCGCAACTGCTGCGCGAAAATCATGTCGCGAACTAGCTAGCGAGTTCCACGCCGTCCTACCAAGAGAGCTTCGAAACATGATATACGCCTACATCGTCGGCCCGACAGCTCAGCCTCAAACTACACCGGAATATAGCGGAATGTGGTGGCGTGTCGAGTGCGGCAAGAGCATACGCATTGGCTGGTTAGACTCGCAATGGGGCGAGGGTATTGAAGCACTCGACATCTGCGGTGAAAGTCTACACATGCAACCCAAATGCTGGGCTATGGATCCAGCATACTTTGGAGCGCACGCAGCCCAAGAGCTTACAGAAACTTACTACAGTATCAACAGTTTCTACATCACGTCTGCCCAGGAGATGAGCAACCTGTTCCGCGCCGATCCCTTCAAGCTCGGAATGAAGCCGTATCAGTTTATCCGCAAGTTCACGCTGGTGCTCAACTTCTCCGGAACTGGAATGCAAAGCGAGGACGAAGTGGCGGCTCTTCACAATAACCTCCAGGACCTCCAGCTACTACCTCCGAAACGTAAACACGAAATTTGCATTCGCCTCGAGACAGCTTTCCAAATTGGAGAAATCAAACTTGGTGGGTATCGATATCGTCATCCCTACGACATGGAAGATGAGCGGGTTATGCTCAATATCCTCGAGTCGATCAGACGGCCCGTGTATGATCTCTTACACAGGAGGAAGTCGGTCAGGGTGTTCCAGGCAAATTTAGAGGACTGGTGTACACCACGCCAAAAGACAATTGAGGATGTAGGAGTAAGGTATTTGACATCTGCTGAAAGAGTGAAAGGCAACTGGAGGCCGCCTTGTCAATTCTTCAGCATGACGGAAGAGGAGTGGCGAAAGGTATGCGGTTTGCTAATCATCACGCGAGTGTCTGCATGGGTGAGGCTAATGAGTGATAGGAGAAAGAAGAGGATGCAGATGGGGACCCAGCCCGGCATTACGTTCTCCGTCCGCCTAATCTTGCAAGCGACAAGGATAAGCACAACACGAACGAAGACAGCGAGGAAGACGAGGAGGCAACAGATGAAGAAAGCGACGAAGACGAGGAGGCAACAGATGAAGAAGAAGGACCAGAAAACGAGAGCGACGACGCGGATTTCTTGTTCAATCGGGACCAGACTCTAGACACGGAAACCAAGCTCAAGGTGCGCGAAGCGCTGAAAACCCGATGGCAGGAATCAGGCGCTCTTGATCACTTTTGGCACAGCGGCGACCGTGAAGGGCCTTTCGGACTCCAGAAACAGAAATCACGATACTCATCGCGGGATCTGCAGTATGAAGACTTCGTGTAGCTATACTACACAGCAGGATATTATTTGAGCGGGCTACAAAGCTCTAATCAACACAGAAACACACATTCACCACACCACAAGCGCACAGCATTCCATCAATCAACCAAAGAACGAATTAGATTAAGTAACTAACCATGTGCACAAAACGCAGCAGTCGCTCAGACCCAATCCTCCCTACTACACAGCCAGCACCAAGACTGGCCCAAAAGCCTCCGTCTCAAGTGAAAGCTTCAGTACAAGAAGAGTAAGCGTGAACAAAGGAAAGGGCGTGCGTCGCAGCGACAGTGGGAAAAAAGGGAGAGGGACAGGTCCAACGCTCAAGGGTATGAAAAGTTTGTTGTGACAAAGCCATGCTAAACATGTGTACTCATACAAAAGAGCGATTCGGGGTGTGCGAGTGTGTGTGGTGGTTTGGAGTGGGAATGATCGGGGGGGGGTTAGTTTCCACCGGAAGCCAGGTGATCGGCGGCCTATTGGAAATTGTTAGTTGGAGTCTTCTTCTACATAGAGTGTGGTTGCATTGCTTACCTTGTTGATGTCGTAGTCGTACTTCTCGAGCGCAGACAAGGCGTCGTTACGTCCATAGCCCATACCGGTCAGCTTCTTGAGGATAGGGTCGTCATGCTCGGTTCCAGTGCTGATGGCACGACCAAGCGAGGGCATCTGAGGCGACAATCCCTGAGACTTGGATGAAGAAGCAGCAGCCTCCTCATTGTCGAGAGTGTCAAAGACAGACTTGCCAAAGTCAGTGGACGCTTGCTGCGAGTGTGAGCCCTTGTCGGTCTGCGACGACTCGAGGTTGGAGAAGATGGCATCCCAGTCCTGGGACGAGGCAGCGGGTTGAGGCTGCTGGGGCTGTCCTCCAAAGGTCTGCGACAGGTGTTCAAAGTCACTGAAGCTGTCATCACCACGCGGCTTGCCGGTGGGAGTCTGCTGAGAAGCCATAGTGTTTGACTTGGAGGCAGCTGGCGAGTCAAACACTGGGTTGAACTCGTCAAGACCTTCACGGTTCTGCGAAGAGAACATGAAGTCGTCATCAGCGCGGTCATCCTCCTTGGCATCCGCTAGATCATCAAATCCGGCGTCGAAGTCATCGTTGAAGGCAGACTTGCCGAGTTGGGGGACGTTGTTGGAAGGCGATGGGCCCTTGTTGTTCTCATTGGCACCGTACGATACTGCAGAGTGGTATTGGTCGGATGGAACGGTCGATGATGGAGTATCTAGAGGAGGGGGCGATGTGGTCGCAGACTTGGAAGGGCCGCCAAAGAGAGCAGCTCCGTGACCGCCAGGAGGATTGTACGACTTCTCGGGACCTTGCGCGGTGTCAGGAGATCCTGGCGATGTTGGGTCTTCGCGAGCGGGAAGAAGACCACCGAACTCAGGTGGGAATTGGTTCGATCCACTTCTGGTCTGGTTCACACTGGACTCGTAGGTGGGTGGGGACTTCTGCGCACTAGGAGAGGGCAAGCCACCGATGTTGGAGTCCAGGCGGGTAGTTGGCGGCGGAGCTCTGTACAACTCGTCACTTGACGCAGTACCTGGTCGCTGCTGTTGCTGAGAGCGCTGCTCTTGTCCTGTGCTAGTACGCTTCTGGTTTGGCGACGCGGATGTGAAGTTGTCATCGAATCCGCGCTCATCGTTACTGTCGCTGTCATCATCGTGAGCGAGGTCCTCGATCGGAGGGAACTCCTTGTTGAACCTGTTGGAGTTATCCGCGGGTGCGCTTGTGGTGGATGCAGTAGCAGTGTTCTGACGACTAGGGCCGAAGCCAGCGAATGCCGCATCGAAATCATCCTTGCCTCCACGAGGTTGTTCACCAGAAGTGCTGCCGAAGGGGTCGGCGCGGTTGATGTTCCTGTTGGGGGCGCTCAGACTGCTCTCTCCAGTTTGGTTCTGCTGAAGAGGGGTAGCAGCCTCACGTGGGAAGGCACCAGGAATGTCAACACCAGCTGAAGGTGCTCCGAAGTTGGAGAAGGCATCCTTACGGTCCTCAGCTCTGGTTGAGCGCTGAGTATCACTGGTGATACTGGCTACAGGAGATGCTGATGAGAAGTTACGGTTGAACAGAGAAGGGTTGAAGTTGTCGGTTTCTGTGCGGTTGGTTTCAGTTCGCTCTACCGTGGGCTTCTCTGCTATTGGTGTGCTCGCAGGAGATGCCTGGGAAATTGTAGGTGTCTCGTTGCCAGGGCCACCGTATCTGCTGGCAGGAGCAGTAGCTCGCACGGAAGAGCTGAACGAGTCGGATCTCTGGCCGCCTTCCCTCAGAGGTAGGAATGAAGAGCCAAATTGACGCGACTCAGGGGGGGCTGGCGGGTCTGCAGCGCGGGGAGATTCCTGGTAAGAAGACAGAGGGGGTGAGGTAGACGGTGTGGGGACGTCAGGTCCTTCGGAAGAGCGTACTGATTGGCCGGATGGAACAGAGAAGCTGGGACCTTGGCTCTGGTTTTCGGGACGGAAAGAGACGGGAGGTGCTGTGCTTTGAGGAGTGCCGAAGCTACCAAAAACGCTGTCAAAGTCCTTGTGCGGGCCTTCACGTGCGAATCCAGATGGCGACATGGTGTTCTCCGCAACGGGTTGGGGCGACTTGCGGAAGAATGGGTTCGTGCTCTGGCTTGTAGTGGACGCTGCGGGGCTGACGGCGACGGCGGGAGTCTGGGCCTGCGGACTGCGTGTGCCCTCTTCCTGCGACTTGGTCAAGTCGTTCATTTCGTTCCTGATCTTGTCGCGTTCTCCCTCATTGGTAGCAAGCTGCTTCTTGTTGATAGCAACCATGCCCTTCTGCTGTCGGGCATCGTTCCTCATCTTGTCAAGCTGAGGACGCAGCTGTCCGATCTCGGTATTGAGTTGGCGGATGCGTTCTTTCAAGCTGTTGTTCTCACGTTGGTCAGCCTCAAGTTGGCCTCCCACCTGGCGGTGCTGATTCTGGAGATCCTGGTAAGAGCCCTCGATCATAGCAAGGTCCTGCTGCAGCTTGCGGGTCTCGTTGCGAGAGGCAGCCAGTCGGTCCTCTAGCGCCTTGACAGCCTTGACTTCCTGGTCGTACTGGGTCTTGAACTGCGAGAGGCGCAGCTCGAGATCGCGCTTCTGGGTGTTGACACTGTTGAGATCGCCCTCTGTCGCAGTCTTCTTGTTCTGAACTTCCTGCATCTGGTTTCGGAGAGTGGTCATCTGGTTAGACATGTTGGCCAGGTCAGTCGAGTCTTGCGTCAGCTTCTTGTTGATCTCGGCAACATCCTCTCCACCCAGCAAATCGTCCATTGCGGATGGTGTGGAGTGTTGTGGTACGCCAGAGGTACCCGATTGGCCTGTAGAATGCGCAGTAAGAGTCTGACCGAATGAAGAACTAGGCATGAACGGCTTGAAGGTGGAAGCAGGGTTCCGCGGTTGAGGCTGGAATGGGTGAGGAGACGTGGGCGAAGTTGGCTTGCTTCCGAAAGGATCCGCCTCGAATGGCTTGCTGAAGGTAGCCGAGCCGCCTGTCGATTGCGGTTGCTGAGGAGCAGGAGCCGGTGCTGTGAAGGCGTCGAGTCCGAAGAGATCATCTGCAGCTGATTTGGCGGCGCGAGGAACGGGTGGCGCTGGCTGAGGGGCGGCTACTGGCACTGCTTGGTTGGCAGCTGTTCGTAGGCTCGGGGGAATCAGGCTGGGTGGTAGTGTTGCTGGAAGCTGGTCTCCCTTCCGTTGTTGACGGATCAGGTACATTGCGACTGCGAACTCGTCCTTGGACAGCTGACCTTCCGAATTGATGTCTGCGAGGTCCCATATTCCTGCGAGGACATCTTCGGGCAGGCCGGAATCGCTGAAAAAGCGCACTGCCTGGTCGCCAGTGATAAAACCGCGACCCATGGTGTCAACCGTCTTGAAGAGGTTGTCGTAAGACGCCTTCTCTTGTGGGCTGATAAGCCAATCGCTGCCGGTCGGTTGGGGTGCTGGAGCCGGTGCTCCGAATGGAGTTCGTCCAAGGGGACTCGATTGCCGCGGCTGGTTTTGCTGACCGCTGAACTGGCGCGGGATGGACATGGATTGGTCTGGTCGGCCTGGTGGAGGTGGGAGTTGTCCCCGTCGCGAGGCAGCTTCGTACAGGCCTGGGGGTAGAGCGGTCGGGAGGGCCTTCATGTTGCCAGTTCGGTAGGAGGCGAGCATGTGCATGGCAATGATGAATTCGGTGACGTTCAAAGCGCCGCGCTGCTCCGTGTCGGAAAGATTCCAGATGCGACCGAGGACTTCATTGGGTAACCGCGCTTTCTCAAAGATCTCCTTTGCATTCTCGCCTGGAAATGTTAGAGTCGCACTAGTCGAGTATCGAGACACATACCAGAGAGCACGCCATTGACGGCACCAGACTTCTCGAATAGGCCTGCGTATTCAGCAGCCTTGGCGGGTACTAGCGGAGGCACGCGGATGGGGCCGTTGCCGCTCATCTGAGGTTGTATCGAACCGGTGGGTTGTGGAGAGAAGCTCGGGGCGGCGGGAGGAGCGGATGGGATGTTCAAGCCCTCGAACTTGGGCAGGGGCGCAGCTGCGGGAGTGTCAGCGCATGGCTATACTACGGGCCATTGAGGTCATACGTCTAAAGGCCAGCTCTGGGGCGGGGTCTCTGCCGGCCTGGTAGTGTCCGATGAGGCGCAGGACCTGGCAGAAGCCGGCCATGGTCAGGAGACCGCGGTTCTCCGTGTCTGCAATCTGCCATATCTCGCCCAGGACAGCGGGTGCCAACTTGGTGCGCTCGAAGAACTTGACGGCAATCTCGCCTGTTATGACGCCCAGCTTCTCCGTGTCGGCTTGCTGGAAGAGGAACTGGAAGACGCGCTTCTCCTCGGGCGTCAGGTTGAGGACGGGCTGGTCTGCGCCGCGTTAGCTGGGACGTGGGCAGGTGTATGTGTCAGCACGCACTCAATTCGCCGCTCTGTGCGAGGTCCGCCATGGCTGTGTGGGCTCCGTGGACGGCGCTCGTGGTTGTTAGGCTTCTGCCTAGGTGGATGAGGCTGAAGCTCCCGGCG